GGAAATGGCTTTCTTAGTATGAACACAATCCAGAAGCAATTAAAGATAAGACCAGACTAGGAATTACATAGTGCCATGGCTTTAATGATTTTGTGACTGTTGTAAAATTTACTTTAGGAGCTGGTGTTGCGGCACAGCGAGTTAAGCCGCTGGCATCCCAGTTCAAGTCCAGGGTGCTCCACTTCCGATCCAGCTCTCTGCTATGACCTTTGAAAGCAGAAGATAGCCCTACTCCTTTGGCCTCTGCTCCCACATAGTAGACCTGGAAGAAGCTTCTGGCTCCAAATCAGCACAGCTCTGGCCATTGAGGCCATTTGTGGAGCGAACCAGCTAATGGAAGACTCTCTGTCTCTGCCTCTCAAATAAACTTTTTTTTTTTTAAAGATTTATTTATTTATTTGAAAGTCAGAGTTACACAGAGAGAGAAGGAGAGGCAGAGGCAGAGAGAGGTCTTCCATCTTCTGATACACTCTCCAATTGGCTGCAGCGGCCGGAGCTGCGCTGATTTGAAGCCAGGAGCCAAGAGCTTCTTTCAGGTCTCCCACGTGGGTGCAGGGGCCCAAGCATTTGGGCCATCTTCCGCTGCTTTCCCAGGCCATAGCAGAGAGCTGGATTTTAGGTGAAACAACTGGGACTTGAACTGGCGCCTATATGGGGTGCCAGCACTGTAGGTGATGGCTTTACCCGCTACGCCATAGTATCGGACCCATAAACTCTTAAAAAAAAAAAAAAAAAAGTCCTTTCTGCTCCAGTTCTGATCCAGCTCTCTTCTAACGGCCTGGGAAAGCAGCAGCAGATGGCCCAAGTATTTGGGCCCCTATTACCCACATGGGAGACGTGGATGAAGCTTCTGGCTCCTGGCTTTAGCCTGGCCCAGCAGTGTCTATTGTGGCCACCTGAGGAATGAACCAGTGATGGAAAGTCTGTCTGTCTGTCTCTCTTGCTGCAACTGTGCTTTTCAAATAAATTTAATTTTTATAAAAATAATAGATAGTCCCCATGTACTCTTCACTCCCCTGTATCGCCAACTTTTTTTTTTTTTTTAATTTTTATTGGACAGAGTAATAGAGAGAAAGGTCTTCCTTCCGTTGGTTCACCCCCCAAATGGCTGCCACAGCCGGCGCTGTGCCAATCCGAAGCCAGGAGCCAGGTGCTTTCTGCTGGTCTCCCATGCAGGTACAGAGACCCAAGCACGTGGGCCATCCTCCACTGCCTTCTTGGGCCAAAGCAGAGAGCTGGACTGGAAGAGGAGCAACCGGGACTAGAACCCAGAACCCAAATGGGATGCCGGCACCGCAGGCGCAGGATTAACCAAGTGAGCCATGGCACCAGCCCTCGCCAACTAGTATAACCATAGACTATCAAAACGAAGAGATTAACCTTGGCTCTATGTGTTGCCCGTGCTGCTTAGGTGTCTTATAGCATAGCCCTTGATTTGTGTTACCACTGAGGTGCCGTGCTGTCCAGGGCATCACCCCGATATCGACGGCCCCCCCTCCCCATCGCCGCTGCTGATGTCCTCTGAGGTCAGGTGGTTACTGTGGTCTCCCGGATTCTCAGGTTCAAGTTTTCCACTTGTAATTTGCTATTTGGGAACGCATAAGCTCCATGAGTTTTAAAAAGCATACTCTTTCCACTCAGCAGTTCCACTTACAGAAATAACCCGCGTCTGAGATTTATTTCGTAGCCTGCAAAATGGGGGGGACAGTGTCCCCTCTGTGCTGGTAGAAGCCCCTGCACTGAATAGCGCCTCATACATGAGTACAGTAAGCTCCCTGTTGGTTCACCCTTCCTTCCCCAAACCTCCGGAGGCCAGGTGGGTTTGGAATTCAGAAGATAACAAGATGCGTTTATTACATATTCCGTGACAGCCCCAGGCAGGTCTGGGGCAGCACCCTGTAACCAAAGCCTCACCTTTCTGTCGTGAAAAGTGTGAATGTCCACAGCAGTGGGGGTGGGGGGAGATAAAGACCAAGTAGCTTCAGGTGAGTTCTGACCAGAGCTTAATGTGCGTGCGGGCCAGGTCTTGTTGCGGGAAGAGGTTTTAGGGTTTGTAGGACGTTGTGCATTTCAGAATTGTGGGTGGCTGCACCTAAATGAGAGTTGTATACCGCGAGGTGGAGGTCTGCGGTCCTCGTGGCAGCATCGTTGGAAGGTCAGCCTGGAAACCCCTCCGTGCCGCTTTGTGGGGGAGGGGAGGTTAGGGCAGTCCCGGTGCACACTGCTGCCCTGTGCAGCCCTTCCCAAAGATGGGAGCCAGCCAGGCGGTACAGCCAGGAGCAGGGTAGCAGCAAGGCATGTCACTCAACAGACACAGCACAGTTAGCACGGACGCTGCGACCTCACTCGGATTCCAAGGGGGCTTCAGACAGTTCGTGGAATCTGGATTAAAAGGTGTGTGTGTTTCTTCTGATGCACCTAAGTTTTGAATTCCACTCGTGTGAGGGGTCTTCAGGACGTTCATAAAGGGGTGCCGTTCAGCCCGGCGGTTGAGATGCCCACGTGCTGTAACGGAGTGCCTGGGTTCACGCCCAGCTCTGGCTCCCAGCCCCAGAGTCCCGCTACTGCACATGCTGGAGGCAGCCAGTCTAGCTCAAGCACCTGGACCCCTGCCACCCACGGGGACACCTAATGGAGTTCCCCCCCAGCTCCTGGATTGGCCTTGGGCCAGTGCCAGTTGCTGCTGGCATTTTGGGAGTGAACCAGTGGATGAGAGCTTTCTTTCTCTCCCTCTCAAATCAAAATAAAATTTTTTGACATTAATGAAAAATACGTATTATGTAAAAACCAGGCATATGCTTCAAAACCATTTTTTTGGGCACCAAAATGAACATCTTTGAATTTCGTTTTTTGGTTAACTTTTTGAAGTACCTTCTTGCGGTACATCTGCAAACATCTAGGATATGGCTGCCCATTCCGGTGGCCTGGGTAGATTAGAACCTACCACTAGCTGGGCCTCGCAGGAAAACCACTTCGTGAGAAATGCAGGGCTGGGGCCCGGGGGATTCTGACACCCTGTGAGGGCCGAGGGCCGCTGGCGTAGACGGATACAAACTCAGAGTGGGAAGAAGTGTGACAGTGGACTCTTCTGTACTGCGTGTGGTTCCCCTTCCCGTTTGTGCTGCTATATTAAACATGGAGCCGAAAGGTTTAGGGGGAAAAAACAGATGGTCTTGTGGGCAGAGTCGGGTCGTCATCGAAGGCAGGAGAGGCGTACTGGCGTCGTGGGAGGCAGGAGAGGCGTACTGGCGTTGGGGGAGGCAGGGGAGGCGTACTGGCATCGTGGGAGGCAGGAGAGGCGTACTGGCGTCGGGGGAGGCAGGGGAGGCGTACTGGCGTCGGGGGAGGCAGGGGAGGCGTACTGGCGTCATAGACTCTTCTGGAAGTTTAATGATTCCATGCATTGCTCTTGGTGCTTTGCAGCACTCACTGATACCGGCTGGGACTGGGATCACAGCCGCGTTCGCTCAACTAGAGAGGAGGACACTGATTGTGTCCATCATGCTGTGGGCGCTGCTTCTACCAGCTGCTTGGTGAGCCCTTATCCAGCGCCCACGCCAGCAGCCAGCTGTTAAGAAAGAGGGTGCATGCCTGCAGCCCCTATGCATTCTTACTGGGAGAACTTTGTCCTGCAGCTGCCTTGCTGGTGGGCTCCCCTCTCCTTCCCCCCTTCCTGTTGCTGGCCTCACCTGGCGTAACAGGTTCTCTGTTCCCAGAGAGATCCATCGTGGCCATGCAGCTCCCGGTCCAACCAGGTCACTACCTCCCATTTCCCTCATGTGTTCATGCCGTAGTCCACTTGCGTTGCTGCAAAGCAAGAAAGAGTAGCCTGGACTGGGCACTTTACAAACAGTACAGACAGAAAGTCTCCATACAGTGGCTTACTCTGCAAATGGCCACAACAGCCAGGGGGCTCAATCTGGGTCTCCTAAGGGGGTGGCAGAGATGCAACTCTGCACATTCAGACCCCTAGGGTCTGCATTATCAGGAAGCTGGAGTTGGGAGTTGGAGGTGAGGCTCGAACCTAGACCCTCCAGTGTAGGACGAGGGTGTCTTAACCACTAGGCCAGACACCTGCCCTTAGCAGTAGGAAGTCATTTCTAACAGTTTGGAGACTGCGAAGTCTGATATCAAGGGGCCAGGATTCTGGCTGCATCATCTCTTGGTGGGCGGCAGAAGGGTGGCAGAGTGTGAGAGAGAGCAAGAGAGGGCCTCGCTCACCTCTGTAGTAACGCACCCTCGAGATGACAGACTGGTTCCGTGAAAACATTAATGCAGACCCCCATGCCCCGTCACCTCTCAACGCTGTCGGCTGGGGCCTCAGCTGCCAGTCCTTGAACTTCAGGGCACACACAGAAACGGTAACATAAAGGACCAGGTGCTTCTGCAGCCAGGGCGCTGTCTGGGTGGCGACACTTGGCTGTGACTCGCGCAGGGGACTCGTCTTCACCTCCGGAATGGGCTTCCTGGGTTGTTCGAGAAATGCCTTCTTTGGGTGTTGTGGGTCATTCTGTCAAACAGCCAGAACCAGCCAAAATACATGTAGCTTTAAATTCCATTTTCCATGCTTTTTTTATTTTTTGAATTTTCCTGCTGGGAAAGCACTTGACACCTGATGTTTACAGAAATGACTCATTCTCGAACAGTGTTGGGGAGGTGGGTACTGAATTGTACCCATTAGACAGACGAGGGGTCTGCAACATAGAAGAGACGTGGTCTCTGCCTGAGGTCTCGGGCCAGCTCGTCCGTCCCAGCATTTCAGGGCCTGGGCCGGGGAGCTGGCCCCAACACCGCCACCCTCGCCCCGCAGCCACGCAGTCCTGCATACGTGAGCTCCACGGATGGCTTCACGGGTCCGGGCGACGCCCCAGTGCCTGCTTGCTGCTGGCAGGGCGCCCTCCCCGAGGGTGGGGAAGGTGGACGTGGCCGGCCGGGGCAGCGCCGGGTGGGGCACTGGCCACGCTGGCACGGAGGCTCACTTCCTTGTTCTCCTTTGGCAGATCCTCGGCTCCAGTTCTGAGATGATGGGATTAGGAAGCGGGCGTCGCAGCATGAAGTCGCCGCCCCTCCTGCTGGCTGCCCTGGTGGCCTGCGTCATAGTCCTGGGCTTCAACTACTGGATTGCCAGCTCCCGGAGTGTGGATCTCCAGGTGTTCTCTTTGTTGCTTTGTCTGCTGTCTGCTGGCACCCAAGTCCCCTTGTGCCTGTGCCCGCTGCAGTGCAGGTTAGGGTCCGGGGCAGCCCCCAGCTGGTGCGAGAGGATCCTGCCATGACTGCCTTTGGTTCTGGTGCCAGACAGCCTTCTCTGTTTCCCCTGTGAGTTCAGTCTTCAGTCTAGCCACATGGGGCAGTTCTGGGAAGACAGCTTGCCCCAGTCCATGGCCACGGCCCCATCATGGTTGTCTTAGGGTTCCCTGGAGAGACAGACCCATCAGCTGTGGGTGCATGGGGAGATGAAGGGAGTTTGTTAGGGGAACCGGCCCATGCTGTTGTGGCAGCTTGATGTCCCGGGACAGGCAGTGTGCAGGCAGGAGGCCCTGGGCTGCGGGCAGCGTGGCTCAGCCCGAGTCCAAGGGTCTTGGGGCAGGGAAGCCGAGGCTGGATGGCTGTGAGCCGGAGGGTGATGGGTGTGAGTCCTGAGGCCAGTGAGTCAGGCGCTTTGACATCCAAGGTGAAGACGGTGCCCCTCTGTCTGCAGTCTCTACAGACCCCCTGCCCACCAGTGTCGCCCACGCCCCGGGCCGGGTCTCCCCCCCACCCCCAGACGCTCCCAGCACCGCTTCGCCAGGTGTCTGGGTGCTCCTTGATCCCTTGAGCTGACGCCATCACCCAGGCCCTCCAGTCCACACCAGACACCAGAGGGCCGTGTGGGGAGTGTGCTTGGATGACAGGTGTAAGACGTTCGGTTTTTCAGTGTACCGATCGCTGTGGTCCTTCAGGCACGGTGCCAAGTAAGGCCAGACACTTCTCCTCGTCAGACCACACCCAGGCTCCTCTGAGCCGCTGCTCCAGGGGACTTCAGCCTCTGCTACCTACCCGCCAGCTCCCTGTGTCTCTGGCCCGCCCAGCCCAGTGCTGGCAAAGAATCCTGCCAAGTCATCTCCCCACACTTGAACCTGCCCAGGCTCCTCATGCTCCCCCCTAAGTGTCTAAGTCCTTATCCTGCCTTTATCAAGAATCATTTGTTCCCAGCTGTAAATCCCCAGCTGCCTTTGCTGTGTTCAGAGTTGAGTGGAATTTCTCTCTCCTGTTGTAGCCATGACTGCATTGTAGTGGCCTTGAATAAAGTCTGCCTTAACCATTATTATAACATGTGCCAGAACAATATATTGAGGCCAGTGCTGTGGCACAGCAGGTTAAAGCCGCTGCCTAAAGCGCCGGCATCCCATATGGGCACCGGTTCAAGTCCTGGCTGCCTCTCTTCCAGGCCAGCTCTCTGCTGTGGCCTGGGAAGGCAGTGGAGGATGGCCCAAGTACTTGGGCCCCTGCACCCGCATGGGAGACCCAGAGGAAGCACCTGGCTCCTGGCTTCGGATTGGCACAGCTCCGGCTGCTGCTGCCATTTGGGGAGTGAACCAACAGATGGAAGACTTCTCTCTGTCTCTACCTGTGTCTGTAACTCTGTCTTTAAATCTTTTAAAAAAAAAAACACAATATATTATTCTAAAGATTTATTTTATTTATTTGAAAGAGAGAGAAAAAGATCTTTCATCTCTTGGTTCAGTTCACCGATGGCCACTTCAGCTGGGGCGGGGCCGGGCAGGGTTTCCCGTGTGTGTGTGTGTGTGTGTGTGTGTGTGTGCGCGCGCGGGGGACATTCGCAGGCAGCTGGATCGCAAGTGAAGCAGCCAGGTCTCTAACCAGCGCTCTGCTCCGGGATGCTCGTGTTGCAGGGCGTCACAGGTGGCAGCTTAACGTGCTGCACTACAGCCCCATCCCCGGAATAATTTTTCTTAAACAGCGCTTTGAGCCAACAGCCTAGCCTAGTTGGAGGTATTGCTGTAAACCGCCCTCCCCCCGCAACCGGGTTCATTTGCCCCACGTGGTGCAGAAAACCAGCCACTGCCATTGGGGTGGTGGAAGAAAGTAGATGTGTGTTACAAAGGAGGAAGCAAGGAGCGATTGCGTAATCCCTAGGGAATTAGGGGTAAAGGTTTTTTATAGATTGAAACTAGGGCCGAGAGATGCGTGATCAGCTCGTGTCCAGCTTCCTGCTTTGCGCACTTGTACACAACCCCTAAGAGCTGGCTTGAGCTGTACTCAGCTCACAGGTGGGCAGGCTGACAGCCAGCGGGCTGACGCCGGGGGTCTTGTCTGTCCTACGCCCTCGGCCACGGACACCGTCCCTGGCTGCCGCCGGAGCCCCTGGGCCCCTCCGTGTCCGGAGTGGAGCGTGGGACCCGCGTTCAGAAATCGGGTCCGATTAAGGAGCAGGAGAAGAGGAGTCAGTGCCCAGTGGCGTGCATGGCACTGGCCTGTGGCGGGCCCTGGCCCCGGGTGGCGTGGCGGGGGTCTTGGGTGGGGTGGCTTGGCGTGGTGGGGGTCTGGGGCATGGCACCGGCCTGGGCTGGGCCCTGGTCGTGACGTGGCGGGGGCCCCGGGCTCGGCGGGGTTCCCGCGCGTGGCACCCCGCCAGCTCTCACGCTGTGCTCTCCCCGCAGACGCGGATCGTGGAGCTGGAGGGCCGGGTCCGCCGAGCGGCCGCCGAGAGAGGCGCCGTGGAGCTGAAGAAGAACGAGTTCCAGGGGGAGCTGGAGAGGCAGCGGGGACAGCTGGACAAGATCCAGTCCAGCCACAGCTTCCAGCTGGAGAGCGTCAACAAGATGTGCCAAGACGAAAAGGCAAGACCCGGGCGCCCCTGCTCCGGCCGCGGCGCGCCCTGGGCGGTGGTCGTGGCTCTCCTAACGTGGTGCGTGGGTCTCACTCTGCCTCCAACCCTGGCCATCCATGGCTTGTGGGTGGGGCCCTCCAAGTCACGCCCACTTACCCATGATGCACCTGTCTCATCCAGGATGCGGAAGGGGGAGGCACCTCTCCTGGGTGGGACTGGTCATGGTCACGCCCACTTACCCATGATGCACCTGTCTCATCCAGGACGCGGAAGGGGGAGGCACCTCTCCTGGGTGGGACTGGTCACGGCCACGCCCACTTTCCCATGATGCACCTGTCTCATCCAGGACCGGAAGGGGGAGGCACCTCTCGAGGCCCCGGGATCGCAGTGGTCGCGGTCACTTTCCCATGATGCACCTGTATTGTCCAGGACCCGGAAGGGGATGGCACCTCTCCTCCGGAAAAGGAAGTTACGTTCCATGGGGAGGCGCCATGACACTCGATCTTCCCACCAAACACCGCTCTGTGTGTGGATTCAATTAGGGCAACATCTTGTACCTTATCGAAGGGGCTGAGACGCCCCGTGTGCATTTTGGCTCTTGTTTTGGGTCCGTTCCGGCCGCCTCCCATGCTCTAGTCCTAGGCAGCTGTGTGGCCCACTCATGACTGGGATGTCTCCTTGGGGAGAGGCCTGCATGCAGGCGAGTGTGTATAGTCACTCTCAGATAAATCCTGCTCTCACTTGAGCACTACGCTTATTCCTCTGCTTTAAATTCCTTGTATTCAAAGCTCATCTTGATCAAGCTAGTTGGTTTGATTGACTGGAAAGAGTTAGCCAGAGAGGGAGAGACAGAGATCTTGGACCTGTTGGTTCACTCCCCAGGTGGCGGCTGGGGCTGGGGCTGGGCCAGGCCAGAGCCAGGAGCTTCACCCAGGTCTTCTGTGTGGGTGCAGGGGCCCAAGCACTTGGACCATCTTCAGCTGCTTTCCCAGGCCACAGCAGAGAGCTGGATCAGAAGTGGAGCAGCCGGGACTCGAACCAGTGCCCACCGGGGATGCTGGCGTCTCAGGCGGCGCCTTACCGGCTCTGCCACAATGTGGGCCCCCTCTGCTTTAAATTCTAATCTCTGTGGGGACTGGAACTTGGCGTGGACTTGCTTAGGCCCTTAACAGATCGATCCCCTGTTGGCTTCCTTTCTACACACATATGTTAAACACCTGCTCTGGGCTGGGCCTGTGCTAGGTGCTGGACTCCCAGAGGAAGCATCCGTGCCTTCACGAAGGGCAAGAGTTGCAAGCTTCTATGTGCTACTCACAAAATAGAGGCTCAAGAGAGTAGGCTTTTCATTTGGGGGAGAGAGAGAGAGAGAGATCCTGTTTGCTTGTTTACTCTCCCAAAGCCTGGATCGGCTGGCACTGGGCCAGGCCAAAGCTGGGAGCTAGGAATTGGCTCCAGGTCTCCTGTGGGTGGCTGGGACCCAAGTCCGTCAGCCATCATCTGCTGCCCCCCAGGGTGGGCGTTAGCAGGAGGCTGGAGTCAGGACCTGAAGTTGGGACTCAGACGCAGGCACTGAGATTGGAGCTTGTTTTGGGTCCCTTCTCAGGCTGCCCTGTGGTGCACGCACCTCTCTCTCTGGGCTGGTTGATTCACCGACATCCAGTGGGTCAGATGTGGACTTGGCGTTAGTAGGAGCTGGTGTCCAGCATTTCGCTGGCCTCAGGCGCTCTGGACAGATTGTAAATGCACTTTTCTTTATCTGTAGAATCCTCTGCCATATTCACAAACTCATACTTCTTCCTCGGGCATTGTTCTGATTTTAATGTTAGAACAGAGTCCTGTATTTTTCCTCCCTGGGGGACACTATTTGTGTTTGCGAAGTCCTCTTCCACTGAATGTCATAGGACCTGGGCATTTCTCACCGTGTAAGTACACACAGCATCTCTTAAAAAAAATAAACACTATTGGGGAGAAGAAGTAGAGTTTATTTTCAAAGAATTGAGTTTGAGAGAATTCCTCCTGGGATTTGCAACTTCCTGTGCAAATGTCACAGGCTCCCAGGTTCTCAGAGTCTGGGAAGATGGTGCACCATCTCTTCCCAGACCCTGAGAGTCAGCCTCTGCTGAGTCTCTCGGGCTGACACTCACAGGCACCCCTTCCGGGTCCCTTTCAACCCCCTTAGGAGGCTGCGGCCATTTTACAGGCGTGACAGGTGGCGCTCAGGGAGCAGTGGTCGCCAGGATGAGACCTGGACCTGGGATGGCCTCCCGACTCCCATCTTCCATGTCCTTCCTAATGTGCCTTTGTCTTGTTCTCTGCTAGAAATGTTCTCTGCAGCACAGTGGCACTCACCACTAGGGTTGCTGGGGCCAAGGGACTGAATTTTAGTGAATTGTAACCATTTACATGTAAATGGCCAAATGTGGCCCAGGGGCTGCCTTAGTGGGTGATCTTCAGGATTCTGGTTAAAAGCCTGCTTGGGGGCCCGGCGCTGTGGCTCACTTGGCTAATCCTCCACCTGCTGTGCCGGCACCCCAGGTTCTAGTCCCGGTTGGGGTGCTGGATTCTGTTCCAGTTGCTTCTCCTCCAGTCCAGCTCTCTGCTGTGGCCCAGTAAGGCAGTGGAGGATGGCCCAAGTGCTTGGGCCCTGCACCCGCATGGGAGACCAGGAGAAGCACCTGGCTCCTGCCTTCGGATCAGCGCAGTGCACCAGCTGTGGCTGCCATTTGGGGGGTGAACCAACGGCAAAAGGAAGACCTTTCTCTCTGTCTCTCTCTCTCTCACTGTCTAACTCTGCCTGTCCAAAAAAAAAAAAAAAAAAAAAAGTGCTTGAGGGCAGGTGTTTGGGAGGGGCCAGTGGTGATGGTTTAAGTATTTGGGTTCCTGCCCCTTATATGGTGGTGGACCTGAGTTGAGGTCCCAGCTTCTGGCTTTGGTGTGGCCCAGCCTTGGCTGTTGTGGACATTTCAGAATGAACCAGCAAAAGGGAGCTCACTTCCCTCCCTCCCTTCCCTCTCCCTCCCTTCCCTCTCCCTCCCTCCCCTCTACTTCCCTCCCTTCCTGTCCCCCCCCCCATTCTCTCCCTTCTCTCTGCCTCTCAGATAAATAATTTTTTAGTTGAAAGACAAAGCCACCTGGTTTGAGCTCCGAGTTACAGGCAGTCGTGTGGTTTCAGCGGTCCTCTGGCGCCTCCGCCCATCCCCCAGAAGCAGGGATGGGGACTTGGCTGCCGGAGTTGTGCGTCTGGCTGTAACTGGGCACACACCTGCAGCTGGCCAGCAGGGTGCCGGGTGCGGGGATCTCTGTGGTGTTGGGGGCCCCCGCAGGGTCTCCCAAGGAGTTTGGTCTTAGTTTGAGGGTGCTCAGGTGTGGAGTGTGAAAGGTAGGCCCTGGCTCTGTGGAGTGGCAGTGCCTAGGGCAGGGAGCAGGCCTCAGGGGAGGCAGCCCTGGCATTGGCCCTGGAAATGGCAGAAGCAAACAGTGGCATCCTAGGGAGTCTGGGTAGAGGGTCGGATCAGTCACACGAGGTGAGCGGGTTTGAGAGGCAGCCGGAGGGGGCGTGGCAGGCCTGGGTGGCAGGCGGAGGGCGGGAGGCGATTGGGAGTGGGACAGACACGGTGAAAACCCGTCTTCCTGGTACAAGGGTTTGGCTCCGAACGCTGCAGTCTTACCAGGTCCTAGATGCCCCAGTTGGCTGATGCCGTCTGACCTGCAAAGCCAGCTGTGTAACAAAATGCAGCCATTCACCTCCCCTGTGCAGCTGACATGGGGCAACCGTGGTCCTCGGGTCTCGTCAGTTGTCAGCCTCCACGCTCAGGGGAGGGCTGGGGCCAGGAGCACACTTGGGTGGGTCTTCTGTCGCAGGGGTGCTTGCTCGTGGAAGGGGTAGCCTTGGCCTTCGCTGGCGCGGCCGGCTTTTGTCTCTTTCTCTCCACCCGGAATGGCCCGAGTGAGTTGGACTCAGATTTTGTTGTTGCTGTCATTCCCCTGCTGTCCTTCTTTGTTTTTAAGATATTTATGTATTTGAAAGGCAGAGGCAGTGAGAAACAGAGGTCTTCCATCTGCTGGTTCACTCTCCAAATGGCTGCAATGGCTGGAGCTGAGCTGATCCAAAGCCAGGAGCCAGGAGCCAGGAGCTTCTTCCAGGTCTCCTACGCGGGTGGGTGCAGGGCCCAAGGACTTGGGCCATCTTCTACTGCTTTCCCACGTCATAGCAGGGAGCTGGATCAGAAGTGGAGCATCTGGGAGAGGCAGAGAGAGAGAGGTTGAAAGAGAGAGGTCTTCCATCCCATGGTTCACTCCCCAGTTGGCCGCAACAGCTGGAGCCGCGCCAATCCAAAGCAGGGAGCCAGGAGCTTCTTCTGAGTCTCCCAATCAGGTGTGAGGGCCCAAGGACTTGGGCCATCTTCCACTGCTTTCCCAGGCTATAGCAGAGAGCTGGATAGGAAGTGGAGTAGCTGGGTCTGGAACCAGTGCCCATATGGGATGCCGGCACTGCAGGCGGCGGCTTTATCCACAACGGCACTGCACCAGCCCCTCCCCTGCTGTCCTTAACTCAGCTCCACAAGGCAGGCGTTTGATGGGAAAGACACTGAGAACAGATGACCCGCTGTCTCCATTTCTCCTCTCTGTCCCCAACAGCTGTGGCTCTGGCGTGGTCGTGTTGATTGGGACCGACAGTCCCCTTGGTTCTGGGTCAGTGTTCTCTTAAGTCCCCAGGTTGGGGGCGGGGAGGGGGGAGCCTGTTTGTAGAAAGCCCGAGTGCACGGAAGTCACATGTCCCGCAGGTGAGAGCAGGAACGAGAGCGCGGACGAGCTGCTCAGCCGTGCCCTCTCCACTGGTCCTTGTCCTCGCCGTGGAGGCTGCGAAGCTGGAACCAGGCAGCCTCGGGCCTCCGGCCGTTGTTGGCGGGGTGTTTCCTGCTGCTGCAGCAGCCTGCAGGGTGGGAGTTGTAGCATAGCAGGTAAAGCTGCAGCCTGCGGTGCCGGCATCCTATAGCCCATATAGGTGAGCATGAGGGATCACTACAAGGGATGGGCTAGAGTGAGAGACCGAAGGGGAACCTGGTCTGTTTCAGATTCCTTTTTTTCCAAGATTGATTGATTTGAACGGTTGTGGGGGTTTCTGGTACTGGTGTCCTGCAGCAGTGTGGAGCAGCAGCGTGGGTGAGGTAGGTGTGCGCATGCGCCCAAGCCAGCCAAGTCTTATAGAGCTGCAGTGTTCAGTCCCAGGCTCCCCTGCATGGCCTGGGCTGCTCTTATTGAAGCCTTGTGGTCATGGTGGTCAGGCTTCATCGCAGTCTTGACCTTCCTTCAAACCAGGAAGTTAGGAGAATGTCCTTACAGCCAGCTCCGACGTTGGTGGCGACGTGAGGGAGGGTGGGAGGATGGATGGGGGCATTTGTGGTGGGCTTCGGGGAGGTGTCCAGTGTCTGTAACTCACCTTGGTGGGCAGGGGGAGGGCAGAGGATGGCTTCTGAGGACATTGCTTGAGTACTGCGGTTTTTAATTTTTTTTTTTTTTCCTTTTAAGATTCATTTATTTGAAAGGCAGAGTTGGAGACAGAGAGGTCTTCCATCCACTGGTTCAGTCCCCACATGGTCCCAACAGCCGGAGCTCAGCCAGTCCAAAGCAAGGAGCCAGGAGCTTCATCCGGGTCTCCCACGTGGGTGGCAGGAGCCCAAGCCCTTGGACCGTCTTCCTCTGATTTCCCAGGCCCATTAGCAGGGCGTTGGATCAGAAGTGGAGTAGCCGGGACTCAAACCAGTGCCCATATGGGATTCTGACACTTAGGGTGGCAGCTTTACCCACTATGCCACAGCACTGGCCCCAAAATACTGGTTTGTGCAGCCCTGACAGCTGAGGAAACCCAGGTGGGGCTTTTGTGGTCTTCAGGTCCCCCACTCAGTGGGGACCAGGGTGCTGTGGCATTTAGACGGGGCACCCCACCTTTTGCTGCAGGGGTGCAGAAAGTCCCTGCTGAGATGCCTGTCACGTGCCCCCCCCCCCGTTTTGTGATAACAAAGTGGCTTAAGTTTCGTGTGAAATTATAATGGAGAAGTAGCACGTAGCAGTGTGTGGGAGAGTCCTTGAACTCGCCCAGAATCTCTATCAGAAAGCAAGGTTGTGGGGCCGGCGCCGTGGCTCACTTGGTTAATCCTTTGCCTGCGGTGCCGGCATCCCATATGGGTGCCGGGTTCTAGTCCCGGTTGCTCCTCTTCCAGTCCAGCTCTCTGCTGTGGCCAGGGAGTGCAGTGGAGGATGGCCCAAGTGCTTGGACCCTGCACCTGCATGGGAGACCAGGAGGAAGCACCTGGCTCCTGGCTTCGGACCGGCACAGCGCCGGCCGTAGCAGCCATTTGAGGGTGTGAACCAATGGGAGGAAGACCTTTCTCTCTGTCTCTCTCCCTCACTGTCTAACTCTATCTGTAAAAAAAAAAAAAAAGGCAAGGTTGTGTGTTTTCAAGTCCATTTTCTGTTCCCTCAAAATCAACCTCGCAGTTCAGGCTATTTTTCAAAATTGTGCTTTTCAGGTTTAGTTGGTGACGTAATAGGGTTATGGATGTGTCTCTCTGTGTGTGTAGACCAACTGTGGACACTTTTAAACTTGAAAAGTGGACAGAATGACCTAATGAGCTCTCATCGTTATAACTCAGGCTGTTAGAATCGCGATATTTCAGTACCTCTCTCTAGAAGGTGGGATCTTCTTTGTTATTATTTTTAATTAGTTAATTTATTTGAAAGAGTTACATGGAAAAAGGGAGGCGGGGGAAGGGGAGGTCTTCCATCCCATGGTTCACTCCCCAATTGGCCGTAATGGCCAGAGCTGCACCAATCTGAAGCCAGGAGCTTCTTCCGGGTCTCCCAATCAGGTGCAGGGGCCCAAGGACCTGGGTCATCTTCCACTGCTTTCCCAGGCCATAGCAGAGAGCTGGATCAGAAGTGGAGCAGCTGGGACTTGAACTGGCGCCCATATGGGATGCTGGCACTGCTGGTGGCGGCTTTACCCTCTACGCCAGCCCCTAGAAGGTGGTATCTTATTTCTCTTACCTGTCATAATACTATCTTACCAAAATATCCAGTAATTCCTTATATAAAATAGTGCACACCTGCTTGTGTGTGTGTGTGTGTATTCACTGGCTCGAGAGCAGAGGAAGGCACAGAATGAGCTCTGATCTGGTGCTTCCCTCTCCAAATGCCCGCAGTGACCGGGGGGCAGGTCAGAGCTGGGAGCCATGTGGCGGGGACCCCAGCACTGGAGCCTTCATCGCTGCTCCCCGGGGCTTCACGGACAGGAAGCTGGAGTCAGGAGCTGGACGCCAAACCCCGGCACTGCGAAGTGGGGCGCTGGTGCCCTGACCACCAGCCCGGAAACACCCAGCTTTGTTTAAAAACTTGCTAGCTTGAGTCTCCCGTGGCCTCTTCCCTCTTCCCTGTTGACTGTCCCCGCTCTGTGTGAGGCCGCCTGTCCCCAAGCTCCTGGACCGTGGGCGGGAGAGCGGCAGCCAGCGGGCGAGCTGCTCCCAGAAGTCTCGCCGTGCTCACTGTGGAACCCCTTTTCTCTATCCTCTCAGCCAGCCTGGAAGAGAACCCAGGATCCCTCCACCTTCCTCCAGTTGCTGGCTGGTGGCTGGCACGGGAGCCCGAGCCTGGAGACACGCCCACTGCGGGTGCCCCCCCCCCCCAGGCTGCAGGAGTTCCATGTTATCCTGTCTTCTCTCCCTGCAGGCGGTGTTGGTGAATAATATCACCACGGGCGAGAAGCTCATCCGAGTGCTCCAGGGTAAGTCCCAATGCCCCCTCCGCCGGGCAGCGTTCTTTAGGGGTGAGCACCTGCTGTGCCCTCTGCACAGGGATGGCGTTCTGGGCGACGCGCGCGGCCCTGGGCGTGTTGTTCTTACTGTGCATGCTCCCTGTGTGTCCATCAAAGAGTCCGAAGCCTGCCTTCAGACTCCGGTATGAGTGCGTTAAGAAACATTGTCCAGACCGGGCACCTGGAATCTGAAAGGCTCCCAAAGAAAGGGCTCCGGGCACTGACCTGACCTGGCAGCCCAAGCGGAAGACGCCACACCTCCTGTGTGGGATTGCATTCAGAACGCACATGATCATGCAAAATACCAACACAGGTGTAGGTGAGGCATCGGTACATTCCGTGCTTACGAGACCGGGGCCCCGAGGTGTCTCATGTATGTGCAAGCCAGACCACTTCTGGCCCCATGCATCGCAGGTGAGGCGTGCCCACTCTGTGTGTGTGCTGGGTTTTATGTTTTTTTTTTTTTTTTTTTTTTATGGGTTTTATGTATACATAAGGTGCATGTTAATTTAAAGCTGACGCTCAGCTCAGTTCCTGAGAAGCCTCAGTTTGGTTGGGGCAGTGTCGGCATCTCCACCTCCTGCGCCTGTCAGGAAGCCATCAAAGTGGGTCATGTGGACACCTGTCAGTCCTGCAGTCCAGGCAACCCCTGCCCTGTTCTGGCCCCATCAGTTACCGCACATTTCTTTATTTTAAACATTTATTTATTTATTTGAAAGGCAGAGTTATAGAGAGGCAGAGAGAGAGAGAGAGTTCTTCCATCCGCTGGTTCACTCCCTAATTGGCCGCAACGGCTGGAGCTGTGCCGATCCGAAGCCAGGATCCAGGAGCTTCTTCTGGGTCTCCTATGCAGGTGCAGGGGCCCAAGGACTTGGGCCATCTTCCACTGCTTTCCCAGGCCACAGCAGAGACTGGCTGGGAAGTGGAGCAGCTGGGACTCGAACCGGCACCCATATGGGATACCGGCACTGCGGTCAATGGCTTTACACACTATGCCACAGCGCTGGCCCCCCCCCCTTTTTTTCTTTTTATGCTTTGGTCTTTATTTCTTAAGTTAATTCTTTGACAGAGTAAGTTCCCCTCTACTGGTTTATTTCCCCAAAAGGTGGCTGGGGCTGGGCTGAGTTGAGACCAAGAGCCCGGAACGCAGTCCAGGCCTGCCGAGTGGAGGAAGGAACCCCAATTCTGGAGCCTCCACCTGCTGCCTCGCAGGGCATGCGTCAGCAGGAAGCTGGAGTCGGGAGCCCCCCGCCCGTGGAATGCTGTGTTTGAACTGCTGCGGCAAATACCTGCCCCTGCTTTGCATTGTTCATAGTCCTCAGGGTCTTCAGACGTTCATGAAAAATGCATGTGTGGATTTCAGATTTTTCACACCAAAATGAGCTCACTTTATCCCATTTTCCTATGAACTTCTTGAAGCACCCCTGTGTGTCCACATGTATATAGGGTGAGAACATAGGTTACCTTTTTTCCTGTTTTAAAGATTTATTTATTTGAAAGGTAGAGTTACAGAGAGGCAGAGGCAGAGAGAGAGGGAGAGAGGTCTTCCACCTGCTGGTTCACTCCCCAAAGGACTGCAGTGGTCAGAGGTGGGCCAATCTGAAGCCAGGAGTCAGATGCTTCTTCTGGGTCTCCCACATGGGTGCAGGGGCCCAAGGACTTGGGCCATCCTGTACTGCTTTCCCAGGCCACAGCAGAGAGCTGGATTTGAAGTGGAGCAGCCGGGACTAGAACCGGCACCCGTATGGGAGGTCACAGGTGGCAGCTTTACCCACTGCGCCGCAGTGCCGGCCCCATTTCAGTAAGTCCTGACAAATGGTTGGCCTCACAGCCCTCGGTCCCCGGCTGCAGGCAGCGGGTGCCCCCTGCTTGGATGGCCTCTCCCACCTTGACACTCGCTTCCTGTCCTCTGTGCCATGGTTTTGTCCTCTCAAGGATGGTGTCCAGGTGCTTTGAGCATGCGCCACCTGGTGGCCACTGGCAGGAGTGCATGGGCTCCCTGGGTTTTGCTGGGTTCTGTTTCCCCCAGGGAGTCTGGCAAGTCCAGTGCCGTGAGGACAGAGGTTGGGGAACAGCAGCGTCTCCCCAGGGCTGTGTAGCGCCCTCGGGTGCTGTCGTGCACCACTAGGCACCCCCTGCACCTGGGCTTTGCTGGGCCACATCTTCAGGGCAGCGTGGATGAGCTGAGGAGTTCCCCTGATTAGAGGGCTGGGCAGCTGCCGGACACAGAGCCTAGGAGACTCACGAGACAGCAGGAGGCTGTGTCCCAGGGTCTGCGTTAGTGGAGTCAGGAACTGGGACCGGGGATTGAACCCAGGCCCTCTGATGTGGGACATGGGTGTCCAAACTTAGCAGGCCAGATGTCAGCCTCAGTGTTTTAGAGACCGTGGGTGGTACGTGTGAGCTTGCAGGGCAGCCTGGGGCTCAGTATACCTTAGGGAAAAACAGGTGAACCCACGCTCCTAACACATCTTAAGAGCTGGATGACAGGGGCAGGCACTGTGGCGTAGCGGGTAGAGCTGCCGCCAGCAGTGCCGGCATCCCATATGGGTGCTGGTTCGACTCCCAGCTGTTCCTCTTTGGGTCCAGTTCTCTGCTAGGGCCTAGGAAAGCAGTAGAAGATGGTCCAAGTGCTTGGGCCCCTGCACCTGCATAGGAGACCCAGAAGAAGCTCCTGGCTCCTGGCTTTGGATTGGCACAGCTCTGGCTGTTGTAACCATTTGGCGCGAGAACCAGCAGATGGAAGACAGATCTCTCTCTCCAATTCTGTCTTTCAAATAAATAAATAAATCTTAAGAACAAAGCTGGAGGACAAACGGGAGATGTGGGAGAGATGTTTGCAAGTCCAGATGCAGGCACGTGGGGGGTGCGTCCTCATCCCCGCCTCTGCCCGCCCTTGGCCCCTTGGTAGCTCCGCCCCGCATGTGACTGCCAGCCATGGCCTGAACAGTGACTTGTTCTCTCTCGGCGCAGACCAGTTCAAGACCCTGCAGAGGAACTACGGCCGGCTGCAGCAGGACATCCTCCAGTTCCAGAAAAACCAGAGCAACCTGGAGCGAAAGTTCTCCTATGACCTGTACGTGAGTCCCTGGTGGGGCGCATGCCTGCAGCTAAGCCCGGGCGTTGGAAGCGGGGGGCCCCGGCTGTGGTCTGGGGGAGTCTTTGCTTGCTCCTTCCATTTTGGAGTGGGCAGGGTGGAGTCCTTTGAAGATTTCTTCCTTTGAAAAATGTGCGTTTGATTTTGTAAGCGTTAGCAGTGCCTCAGAAGGCTATGGGTACGTTTGCCAGCAGGCTTGTAATATAAAATAAGTAAGAATGGTGTGTGCGCGCGCGCACACACACACACACACACACACACACACGAAAGCACAGAGGGCTGTTCTCAGCAGGAAATGAATTCCTCCACGTGGCCATAAAGCTTATGTGGAAATTCTATAAAGTGCCAGGTGTGTTGGTGAAGTCAGTTCCATCTTATAACTTTTATTTTCTCTCTTTTTAAAATTTTTTATTTGACAGAGTTAGTGAGAGAGAGAGAGACAGAAAGGTCTTCATTCCATTGCCTCACCCCCCATATGGCCGCTACAGCCGGCGCACCGTGCTGATCCGAAGCCAGGAGCCAGGTGCTTCTCCTGGTCTCCCATGCGGGTGCAGGGCCCAAGCACTTGGGCCATCCTCCACTGCACTCCCGGGCCATAGCAGAGAGCTGGACAGGAAGAGGAGCAGCCGGGACAGAACGGGTGCCCATATGGGATGCCAGCGCCGCAGGCGGAGGATTAAGCAAGTGAGCCATGGCGCCGGCCCCGTCAGTTCTATCTTAGAAAGGAATTCCCAGGGTTCTCAGATGTGAGCTGCCGCAGAGCCCGTCACACCAGGCTCGTGTGGTTCCCATGATTGAAAGACGTTTGCCCTGTTCCACAGGTGATGCCAGGTGATGGCATTGTGGACGTTTGCGCTTTCGGAGTTACTTGTTCAGAGATGCGCACATAGACAGATGGCAGAGGGCAGGCACACAGCCTCCCACCGCCGGTGCACTCCCCAAATGCCTGCAGCAGCTGGGCTGGCTCAGGCCAAAGCCAGTGGCTGGGAATTCCACCCAGGTCTCCCCCGTGGGTGGCAGGGACCCAGCGCCTTGAGCCATCACCGCTGTGTCCCAGGATCCACATTAGCAGGAAGCTAGAGTTGGCTGGGGCCAGGGATCGAACCTAGGCACTCTGATGCGGGCTGTGGGCCGTGGGTGTGCTGCCTGGCGTCTAGACTACTGGGCCACCCAGCCTGCCCCAGCATTTTGTTTTCTTGAGATTTTCTCATGGTTTTTCCGAGTGTCTTCAGTGGGAATAGAATTATTTTGTAATCAAAATCAAACAATACATTTTTATTTATTTATCTATTTATTTATTTTTTGACAGGCAGAGTGGACAGTGAGAGAGAGACAGAGAGAAAGGTCTTCCTTTGCCGTTGGTTCACCCTCCAATGGCCGCTGCGGCCAGCGCACCGCACTGATCTGATGGCAGGAGCCAGGTGCTTCTCCTGGTCTCCCATGGGGTGCAGGGCCCAAGCACTTGGGCCATCCTCCACTGCACTCCCTCTGGTTCACTCACCAGATGGCCACAATGGCCAGAGCTGTGCCGATCTGAAGCCAGGAGCCAGGTGCTTTCTCCAGGTCTCCCAACTGGGTGTAGGGTCATCTTCCACTGCTTCCCCAGGCCACAGCACAGAGCTGGATCGGAAGAGGAGCAGCCAGGACTAGAACCGGCACCCATATGGGATGCCAGCACTGCAGGTGGTGGCTTTACCCACCATGCCATAGCACCATCCCCACAATAAACTTCTGAAGAGGGGGTTAAACCCACTGGGAAGGTAGTAAAAACCAGTTTACAAGGTAGAATGATACAGTTATAGTTGGTTTGCTTATCCCTCCTTTTTTCTCATAAAACCATGTGCCTAATGCCTGGGGGTTCAGAGAGAAGCGCTCACCCTGCCTGCCTCCCATGGGACTTCCATCCAGCCCAGGCCCAAGGTCACGGGACCCTAACTGCAGCCACTTGAAATCCCTGACGTGATTTTCTCACTTACATTACATATACGTGTATAATGTAATATTACCTTACATATAAAAATCCTGTTGCTACACAGTGTTTCCTTGTTTGCATTCGATTATTTTGGATTATTTCCCTCCAACAGAGGCCTTTTCTGGAGGTGTTGCTTGTCACGCATTATAAATCGCCAGATTTCTTTCTGGAAGGATTTTAGCCAACTGTGCGTTCACCAGCAAAGGAGGAAAATTAAGTTTGTTCCCACCCACTGCCATCAGGGGGAGCCCCGTGTTCCGCCATCACCGCTTACCACCTGATTGGTTAAAGCCAAATACAGCTGACAGCATGAGGCCCCCAGTACGTCACCAGGCAGGGGACTGGAGCAGGCATCAGTCCACAAGAAGTGGAATTAGCAAACGGGCTTGTGGCCTCTTCCTTGGCTGCGCTGGGGGTCTTCATGGAGGTGGGGTGGGGGTCCTGCCCTCCTGTCTGGTGATGTTTGGGGGTCCGATGATCCCATTTTTCCTCCCCCCCTCCCTCCGAAGCTGCTGGGATTGAGTAGCCCTGAGTTTGGCTATTGCCCAAGAAATGACACTGGGTAAGAACCAAGTACCCAGGCTGCCTCTCTCTCATCCGTAGTGGCTGTGAATGCACCTGTTCCCCTTCCATTAGCTGTGAGCCCAGGTTCTGGCCCAGCTGGCAGTCAGCGGGGCCCCAGGGTTCACAGCAGGCGGCTGTGTCCCGCTGGGAGAGCTCCGCCGTGGGCAGTGGCGAGCAGCTCCGCCCTGGACTGGGGGCCCCCCACAGGAGGTCAGCAGAGACATCGAGAGCTGCGCCTGGCTCTGTGCCTCTGTGTCACCTGCCGGGGCCCTGCCGCAAACTCGGACACCGCGGAGCCCATGTTTGCAGCATGTGTGATGCTAGAGGTACTAGCTGTTCTCCACCTGTGTGTGGATGATAGCCTGGAAAGGGTGTCCACCCCACGTTAGCAACTCGGCCAGTGAGTGTGCACGACGCTGTGCCTGGGAGTCGGGGAACTCACGGGGCCCCTGGAGCATTGCCATGTACCTTCCTGGGGAGCACCCATCTGGTCCTAATCCTTTATGGAAGGCAGGGCAGAGGGCACACGGGCTGAGGGGTGTGGAAGGTAGTGGTTTTTCCTCTGAGTCAGCACACATCCCCACTCCGTGCTGCCCACTCCTATGGCAGACATCACTAAGCGATCACTGTACTCCATCATTCAGGCATAGCCTTGCAGTCTTTCTTCCCTGGGCACTCAGGTCAGCACATGGGGCGGTCCGCTGTCCACCTCCTCCCCACGTGACGTGGAGAGAGGAGTGTGATGGTAAGCGCAGTGATGGCCAGTGTCCTGGGTGAGGGGGCCAGCAGGCCCCAGCGGAGTCCCATGCAGAACACACTCTCCTAATTGTAGCCAGCCACGGATGCCACCAGCTGCAGTCACGGCCGGTTCCAGGTGTCTCTTTGAGTTAGCTGCAGTTAATGCCCCAGCATTTACTATGACAGAGCTAGCCAGAGGCCCTCAGGAAGTGACACGGTCACTGTCTGCAGACGTGGCTTTGTGCTGTGGCTGCCTCGCTCCTTGTGGGCGAGCCGGAGCGTGGGAGCTGAACTGGACTTGCAGGGCTGGGAGAGAGATGATCTCTGTACGTGGCTTTGTCAGGGCCAGGGGCAGGTGTAAGCTGTGTTTGCCTTTGCAGGCATTAAGGTTCGGGGACTCGTGCCTTCCCTTTGTTTGCTCTGTGAGGGCTGACCTGCACTCCCCATCTACCACCTGCGTCTCCTGTGTCCGTGTGGAGTTTGTTAAAATGACTCCTCACTCAAGGTCAGGAGCTCTGTGATGGGGCCCAGGGCTACCCGGTGGGGCCTTGCACAGAAGGGTGACGGGTTCCTGGATTCCCATTTGCCTCAGCTGCACCTTCCACCCAGGAGAGGTGGCCGCCAGGAAGCACCACAGTTGGGAAACCTCGGACTTCAGCCCAGCTGTACCCGGGTCTCTCCGCGACCCCGGTCTGTGGCAAGACAGGTGGCCTCTCGGCTTTCTGCTCTGCAGTGCAAGTGGGTGACACTTGCTGAAATACCCAGGCTGAGTTCCAGGCAGAAGGCCCAAAGTCACAACGGGAATTCGTTGGCAATGACTGAGCGGCCTGTGGTTCGGTTCAATTTTGCCATGACCTGGAGTTAGCACAGACCCATGGCTGAGGGCCTCAGTCCCACAAGACAGCCCTCTATGAAGTGTTCTGCATGCCCCCAGCCACCTCCCTTCTGTCTGGCGACTGCAAGTTCCCAGCTCCCTGCCATACCCTGCAGGTCTGATCATTTGCTGGGGTGGTAGGCAGAGCTCCCACGTTCAGGATTCATTATAAAGAACACAAACAACCTCACAGTAACCGAATGGGAGAGACTTTGTTAGGCGGGGGCCAGACAGACAGCTCTGTCCCTGTGGAGTTGGCTGCCCGTGCCCCGCACCCATGTGTTTGCCAGCCAGGAAGCTCCTGCGCCTTGTCCCAGAGTGTGTGTGTCTGGGTTTCTTCATAAGAGTGTAGGCATGGGGCCAGAGCTGTGGCATAGCAGGTAAGGCATCACATATGGGTGCCGGTTCTAGTCCCGACTGCTCCTCTTCTGACCCAGCTCTCTGCTATGGCCTGGGGAAGCAGTGGAGGATGGCCCAAGTGCTTGGGCCCCTGCACCCACGTGGGAGACCAGGAAGAAGCTCCTGGCTCAGCCCTGGCTGTTGTGGCCTTTTGCAGGGAGTGAACTAACAGATGAAAGACCTCTCTCTCTCTCTCTCTCTCTCCTTCCCCCTCCCCCTCCCCCCTCCCTCCCTCCCTGTGTAACTCTGCCTTTCAAATAAATAAATTGAATATAAATCTTGATAAAAGCATAGGCATGATGGATTAAATGGCCATGTGAATGTACTCAATCCCCAGCCCCTCCCCTCTCCCTGGAGGGGGTGGAGCTGATCCTCCAACCCTCCAATCCTGTGGTTGACTCCTCTGGCAATCAGTCCATAGGCCCTCCCCCAGTAGGTCACCTCATTAGCATAAACTCTGGTCTGGCCTCCAGGTCCTCTCAGGAAATCCCACAGGTCTTAGGAGCTCTGCACCAGTAGCATGGGACAAGGGCTAAACCCAGCCGCCCCAGAGAGGCCCGGAGAGAGCTGCTTTCCTTCGGTTCACTGCTGAAATGCCCACGGTGCCTGGCACTGGGCCGGGACTGAATCCAGGTCTTCGTGTGGGTGCAGGGCTCAGTCGCCTCCTTCGCTGCCGCCTCCCAGCGCGGTGTGCGCGTGCGTGGGAAGTTGGAGTCCCTGTCCCAAGCTGGAGCTGGGCATCTAACCCCCAGTCCTCCAGTGTGGGGCACAGGTGCCGTTCTGTTGTTATTCTAGATTGTATTTTTTTTTTTTTTTAATTTGAGAGGCAGAGAGAGAGAGGTCTTGCATCCTCTGGTTCACTCCCCAAATGGCCACAACGGCCGGAGCTGTGCTGATCCAAAGCCAGGAGCCAGGAGCTTCTTCCGGGTCTCCCCTGTGGGTGCAGGGGTCCAAGGACTTGGGCCATCTTCTACTGCTTTCCCAGGCCGTAGCAGAGAGCTGGATCAGAAGAGGAGCAGCCGGGACTAGAACCAGTGCCTAAATGGGATGCCAGTGCTGCAGGTGGAGGATTAACCTGCGCCATGGCAGCGGCCCTACCAATTGTGTTTTTTTAAATGTCTTATTTACTAATGGATCAGGATGGCTCGTTCTAGCGTGCCATGACGCGTGTAGGAGTTTCTGATACCCACCTTGCGTTTCCATCACGAAGTAGTTGAGAAGCCAGACCACCCTGTGCTCGCAGATGAGGGGTGCGCAGCGGCGGGAAGCAGGTGGCCGGCTTGTCGCGGTGCCTGGAGCTCCCTGCGCGGCACAGCCATCGACGCCGGCGCCCCGCGTTTTCTCACACCAGGAACCAGTGCATCAGTCAGATGAAAGAGGTAAAGGAGCAGTGTGAAGAGCGCATCGAGGAGGTCACCAGGAAAGGGAGCGAAGGCGCGGCTGCCAGAGACCCCCGGGACAAGAAAGAGCCGAGTCCGCAGGTAAGGGCGGGCGTTCCCTGCCGCGGACTTCTAGAAGGTCCTCCCGGCCCCTTTGCCGCGGGCACTGGTCTGCTCAGCTCTCGCCTCTGCTCTCCTCGTGGGTTTGGTTCCCTGGGCCGGCCCTGGGCTGGCTGCACCCCAGCAAGGTGTGCCAGTCTCCATGCCAAGCACAGCCCTGGACACTGCCTCTGGGTGGGGGGCTGCTGGGAGAGCGGGTCTGCACGGGAGGTGGCCGCTTCGTGTTGCTGGGCTGCCCGCACCGCCACAGGATTCGCCCGTGGGAAGTTTCCAACTCGGTGGTTTCTGGTCCACTCAAAAAGTCGTTCCTCTGTCCCCACAGTTTTAGAACGTTTTTAACGCCCTGAAAAGAGACCGCGTCGCTCGTGGCTCGGTCTTGCCTCACCTGCACGCCTCAGGGCCCGGGACAGCTGCTGCTCCGCTTCTGCCCCTCGAGAGCCACCTGAGCTGCGCGTTTTCCGCCAGCGGCATCAGACGTGGCCCTGTCCCGTCCGGCTGCTGTGGCTTAGTGCGCTGCTCCCAGGGCCCATCTGCGTTGTAGTCTGCACACTGCCGCCTCTCCCTGGATGGCTGCCTGCTACTCAGTGCGTGGCTGGACCACATCTTGCTTGTCTGCAGTTATCTGATGGACACTTTGGGTCGTTTCCACTCCTTGGTGGTCATGAGTAGTGCTGCAGTGAGTGTGTGCGGACGGGTGTTTGTGCTGGTGGGCACCGTTCTCGTTGGTTGGGTGTGTAGGCTGAGGAGTTAGAGTTGCTGACTCACAGGAGAGCAGAAGTGCTGACTCACAGGAGAATCCATTCGTCAGCTGCTGGAGGCGGCTGGCCCGTCTTCCACGATGCTCCTACCATTTGACACTCCCACGGGGGGTTTCTGCCTTGGCCGGTTCTTGCTGCCTGTCTTCACATGCCCTTCCTCAGTCCCTGGTCTCATTTAGGTTCGGGTTTGCATTTGTGTAGTGACTAATGATGTTGAGCATCTTTTCACATCTGTCACTGACCACTTATATATCAGTATCTTTGGAGAAATATCTACTCGGCTCCTTTGCCCTCTTTAATTATTTGTCTTTTATCATTGAGTTATAAGAGCTCTTTGTATATTATACATGTGTACGGATACATTGGGTATGTGGTTTGTTAAATTGTTTCCAATTTTGTGGATACCTTTTTTTCCACCTTTTCTTTTTTTTTTTTTTTAAGATTTATTTATTTACTTGAAAGAGTTACACAGAGAAGGAGAGGCAGAGAGAGAGAGAGAGAGGTCTTCCGTCTGCTGGTTCACTCCCCAAATGACCACAATGGCCGGAGCTGTGCTGATCCGAAGCCAGGATCCAGGAGCTTCTTCTGGGTCTCACATGCACTTGGCCCATCTTCTACTGCTTTCCCAGGCCACATCAGAGCTGGATTGGAAGTAGAGCACCTGGGACTCAACCCAGCGCCCATACAGGATGCCAGCACTACAGGCGGTGGCTTTACCTGCTGTGCCACAGCGCCAGCCCCTCTTCTTCTTCTTCTTCTTCTTCTTCTTTTTTTTTTTTTTGACAGAGTGGACAGTGAGAGAGAGACAGAGAGAAAGGTCTTCCTTTTTTCCGTTGGTTCACCCTCCAGTGGCCGCTCTGGCGGCGCACTGTGGCTGGTGTACCACGCCGATCCGAAGCCAGGAGCCAGGTGCTTCTCCTGGTCTCCCATGTGGGTGCAGGGCCCAGGCACTTGGGCCATCCTCCACTGCACTCCCTGGCCACAGCAGAGAGCTGGCCTGGAAGAGGGGCAACCGGGACAGAATCCGGCGCCCCGACCAGAACTAGAACCTGGTGTGCCGGCGCCGCAGGTAGAGGATTAGCCTATTGAGCTGCAGCACCGGCCCCCTCCTCTTTCTTGATAGTGTTTAGTGGAAGCACAGAAGTTTTAAATTTTGACCATCTGTTTGACCTATTTTTTGTTGCTTTCTCTTGGCATCCTGTCTGGAAATGCTGTGCCTGACCAAGATCATAAAGATTTACTCCTAGGTTTTCTTCCAGTTACACAGTTAGTGGCTCCTACATTTAGGCTCATAATGTGTTGTAAGCTAATTTTGTGTATGGTGTGAGGTAGGGCTCCATCTTCACTCTTTTCCTTACAAGTATGAAGTTGTCTCAACACCATTTGTTGAGAAAAAGACTATTCTGCCCCGCTGAACTGTCTTGTATCTTTGTAAAAATTACTGAACTGTGTTTCTGGACTCTTTCTCAAATCTATTCTGTTAATCTGGTGTTTTTTGTTGTTGTTTTTTTTTAATGAATCTTTTTTTTTTTTTTTTTTTTTGACAGGCAGAGTGGAGAGTGAGAGAGAGAAACAGAGAGAAAGGTCTTCCTTTTTGCTGTTGGTTCACCCCCCAATGGCTGCTGCGGCCGGCGCACCGCGCTGATCCGAAGGCAGGAGCCAGGTGCTTCTCCTGGTCTCCCATGCGGTGCAGGGCCCAAGGACCTGGGCCATCCTCCACTGCCTTCCTGGGCCACAGCAGAGAGCTGGCCTGGAAGAGGGGCAACAGGGACAGAATCTGGCGCCCCGACCGGGACTAGAACCCGGTGTGCCGGTGCCACAGGCGGAGATTAGCCTATTGAGCCACGGCACCGGCCTGTTTTTTTTTTTTGTTTTTTTTGTTTTTTTTGTTTTTTTTTTTTAAGATTTATTTACTTATTTGAACGTCACAGAGAGAGGGAGAGACAGAGAGAGACAGAGAGTGATCAATCTTCCATTCGCTGGTTCACTCTACAAATGGCCACATTGGCCAGGGCTGAGCCAGGCCAAACCCAGGAGTAAGCAGCTTCATCCGGGTCTCCCACATGGGTGCAGAGGCCCAAGCACTTGGGTCATCTTCTGCTGCTTTTCCCAGGCCATTGTCAGGGAGCTGGATTGGAAGTGGAGCAGCCGGGACGTGAAGCCACACAAACCCACAGCACCAGCCCCCTCCCTTCTATTCTAAATTCTTTGAGTTTTTTTTTCATCAAGAAGTGTTTGATTTTGTCAGGTTCCTTCCTCCATCTGTTGAGATAATAATGTGTTTCTTGTCCTTTGTACTATTCATATGGTGTGTTATCACTTTATGGATTTTTGGATATTATACCAGCCTTGCGTTCCTGCATGAATCTTACTGGGTCATGCCTGGTTATATTATCCTTTCTATTTTTTCTGGATTTCGTTGAGGATTTTGGTATCTGCATTCATGAGAGATTGATCTGTGGTTTTTCATTTGTTTGTCTGGTTTTGTTAGGAGGCCAGTAGTGATCTTACAGAATATATAATAAATTGGGAATATTCCTTCCTGTTGTGTTTTTTGGAAATGGTTGTGAAGATTAGAGATTTAAATGTTTGGTAGAATTCACTGATAAAGCCATCTAGGCCTGGGCTTTGCTTTGTGGGAAGTTTTTAAATCATGAACTCAGTCTTTGATTTCTCTGTTTCTTTCTGAGTTTGTTTTGGTAGTTTGGGTCTTTCTAGGAACTTGTCCATTTCCTCTAAATTACCATCTTGTTGCCATGCACTCACTCATAGTATTCCTTCATACCTCTATATTTAAAGAAGATTTATTTATTTGAAAGAGGGAGAGAGAGTTATCTTCCATATGCTGGTTCACTTCCCAAATGGCTACAATGACTGGGGTTGAGCCATGCCAAAGCCAGGAGCCAGGAGCTTCTTCCAGGTCTCCCACGCGGGGTGCAGGGGCCCAAAGGCTTGGGTCATCGTCTGCTGAATCGGAAGTGGAGCAGCTGGGACTTGAACTGGTACCCATATGGGATTCTCACATTGCAGGTGGCTTTACCTGTTGCATCCCAACACCGGCCCCACCATGGTTCATTCATCCACTGAAAGACATTATGGTTGCTTCCAAGTTGTAGCAATTCTTTTTTTTTTTTTTTTTTTTTTTTTTTTTTTTTTTTTTTGCAGGCAGAGTGAACAGTGAGAGAGAGAGACAGAGAGAAAGGTCTTCCTTTGCCGTTGGTTCACCCTCCAATGGCCGCCGCGGCCGGCGTGCTGTGGACGGTGCACCGCACTGATCCGATGGCAGGAGCCAGGTGCTTCTCCTGGTCTCCCATGGGGTGCAGGGCCCAAGCACTTGGGCCATCCTCCACTGCACTCCCTGGCCACAGCAGAGAGCTGGCCTGGAAGAGGGGCAACCGGGACAGAATCCGGCGCCCCAACCGGGACTAGAACCCGGTGTGCCGGCGCCCCAAGGCAAGGCGGAGGATTAATGCCTAGTGAGCCGCGGCGCCGGCCCCAAGTTGTAGCAATTCTGAAAGCTGCTACTATAAATACCTTCATGAAGGTTTTTGTGTACATGTGTTTTCCATTCCTACGGAAATACTTCCTTCTGTAAGAACTGCTAACCTGCCTTCCACATGGGCTGTGCCGCTTCACACTGCCAGCAGCAGTGAATGAGAGTCCCTTTGCTCCAGAGCCTTGCCCAGCACCTGGTGTCGTTGGGGTCCTAGATTCGGGCCACTCCTGTAGCTGGGTCGTGGCGTTTTGAGTTGTTTTAATTTGTATTTTCCTGGTAACATAAGATGTGGAACCTCTTTCCATGTGTTTCTACGCTGAGTATTTTCTTTGCTGAAGTGTCTGTTTAGTTCTTTAGCCCATTTTTAAGTTGGATTGTTTGCATGTTGATGAGATTTAAGAATTACCTGTATATATTGATTAACAGTTCTTTATTGGATGTGTTTCTTGGCAATATTTTCTTGTATATTTTCTTATTCTTTTGACAGTGTCTTGTAGAGTGTGTGTGTGTGTGTGTTTTGGTTTAATGAACTCTAGGTTGTCAATTATTTTGTGGTGTATACTCTTGGGTTTTGTCTACTGAGATCATCCAGGCTTTCTGTTTTGGTGCCATTTGGGATTTTCAGTTTTTGCCTGTTACGTATAGTCTGCGGTCCAGTTTGTGTTTCTCTTGGTGATGGGCATGAGGGGGATGGGCTTCATTGTTTTGGGGGTTGCTGTCAGGCTATGCCCCAGCACTCGTCTTTGCTCTGTTGCATTGCCTCAGCTCCTCTGTCCAAGAGTAGTTGGTGATATGTGTGAGATCTGTTGTCGTCGTCTGTTCTGTTCTCCTGGCCTCTCTGTCTCGCACCATCACCATAGCATCGCGGTTACTGTGGTTTGGATGCTAAGTCTGGAAGGCGGGCAGTCTCAGGCCGCTCTCTGATTTAACTCTTCAGTATTGTGTTGGCTCTGCTGGGTCTCTTGACTCTCCATGTGAATTCTAGAATGAGTTTGTCTGTATCCATTTATAACATGCTGGGAATTTGATCAAATCTGTCCATCAACATGGGAAACATGTCTTGGCAATATTGAGTCTTATGTCTGTGAACGTGGACTATCTCTATTTAGCTCTTTGATCCTTCTGCCAGAGATTTGTAGTGTATTGATCTTGTACAAATTTTGTTAGATTTGTACTTAACGTTTCATTTTTAGAGAGTGCGGTTGTAAGTGGTACTATGTTTTTAACTGCAGATTCCACTCATTCAGTGTTGGTATATAGGAGAGTTACTGACTTGTAAATGAATCTTGTCCTACAGTTTTGCTATAATCATGTACTTGTTTCAAGAGGTTTTTTTTTAATTTCTCAATTATTTCAGGTTTTTTACATAGTTATATTCTGGGGTGTGTGGGGGGGGGAATTTTATTTCTTCCTTCCCAGTCTGTATGCCTGTTTTTTAAAAATTTTTAAAACTTTATTAAAATTTAAAATTTTATTTATTGCATTAGCTGGATTTTCAGTGCCTTGTTGAAAAGGAGTGGTGGGAGGGGACATCCTTGCCTTATTACCTGTCTTAGTGAAACACCGTCAGATGCCTGCTGTTAAATACTCACATGGAGCAGGTGTCAAAGCCACCGCATGGGATGCTGGCATTCCACATCAGAGGGCCAGTTCCGACCCAGCTCCTCTGCTTCTGACCCAGCTGCCTGCTCACGCTTCTGGAAGGCAACAGATGGCCCAAGTGCTTGGGTCCCTGCCACCCATGCGGGAGACTTGGATGGACTTCTGGGCTCCTGGCTTTCGCTTGGCCCAGCTCCGTCTCTCCCTCTCACTGTTGCTCTCCCTTTCAAGTAGGTGAAAATAAATGAACATTTAAAAAATGTCCATGTGATATTAGCTGTAGCTTTTTTGGGTAGATATTCTCAATGTGAGTCGAGGAGGTACCCCTCTGCTTCTCGTTTACCGCGGGTTTTATCATGAGTGGGTTTTTGACTTCTTCTAGATCAGTTGTTATGATCAGATGATTTTTTCTTTACCTGTTGATGTGATAGATTACATTAATTGATTTTCAGATGTTGAACAGACCTTGCATACCTGGGTAGGTCCCCCTTGGTCATGGTATACAGAACATTTTATCCACTAGATAATGCTTCGTTGAGATTTTTTTGCATCTGTGTTCGAGAAGGATAGTGGTCTGTGGTTTTCTTGGAATGTCCTTGTCTGGTTTTGGTATTAGGGTAGTGCTGGCTTCATATAATGACCTAGGAAATACTCCCTTTGCATGTATCCTCGATAACAGATTGGTATACTTTGAGTGTGTGATACAATTCACCAGTGAACTCCCCTGGGCCTGGTGCGCTCTTCCTAATTTCACGACTGTTTTTAATGTATTCATTGATTTGAGAGAAAGAGTGCCCCCCCACCCCCATCTGCTGGTTTATTCCGAAAAGCCTGCAGTGGTGCTGGGCCAAGGCCAGAAACTCAGTCCAGGTTTCTGATGTCGGTGGGTGGTAGGGACCCCCACTGCTGCCTCTGGGGCGTGCATTAGGAAGCTGGAGTCAGAGCTGGGTATCTAACCCAGGTGCTCTGACAGGGAGGTGGGCATCTTCACGCTCAGCTGTACCTAACCAAATGCCCGTGCCTAGGCCAAAATAGTTTCTCATGAAACTTTTGCTTTGAGCTGTGGGTTGTGTAGCAGTATGTTAATCTCCACATACTTCGGGATTATCCAGCTACCTCCTGATTGATTTCTAGCTTCATGTCCTTGTGGTACGAGGGTAGACAAGGGGGGTTTCTGTTCTTTACCATTGGCTAAGGTGAGATTCCCTGCACAGACTGTGGTCTGTCCTTGGGACCGTCTGGTGTGAGCTTGAGAAGAATGTGGCTGCTTCTGTTGTTGGACAGAGGACTCTGTTAGATAGCCAGTGTCTTCCTGCTGGTGGACGGTGTTGGTTTTCTGTCCATTGTAGGGGCGCATGGAAGTCCCTGGCTGTGGCAGTGGCTGCGTCTGTTTCTCCATGCAGGTCTATCCGTTTTTGCCTCGTGTGATTTGACGCTCTGTTGCTAGGTGCATTTGCATTAAAATTTTTTTTGAAGATTGATTTATTATTTATTTGAAAAGCAGAGTTACAGAAAGGGGGGTACAGACAGATTTTCCATCCGCCAGTTCACTCTCCAAATACCTCAACAGCTGGAGCTGGGCCAGGCCAAAGCCCGGAGCCTGGACCTCTGCCTGGTGTTGCATGTGAGTAGTAGGGGCCCAGGCACGTGGGCCATCTTCTCCTGCTTTCCAGGGTACAACAGCAGGGAGCTGGATTGGAAGGAAGTAGGGCAGCCAGGACTGGAACCGGTGCTCACATGGGATGAAATTGTTCCAGTCTTGGGGCTAACATCGTGGCACCGCCTGCAATGCCTGTGTCCCATATTGTTGTGCCATAGTGGAGTCCTGGCAGCTCTACTTCCAGTCCAGCTCCCTGCTCATGTGCCTGGGAGAGCAGCAGATGATTCCCCAAAGTGTGTGGGCCCCTGCACCCACGTGAGACACTCGGATGGAGTTCCAGGCTCCTGGCTTCAGTACGATCCTACCTTGGCTGTTGCAGCTCCTTGCGGGGTGAGCCAGTGAATGGGAGTTGCCTGTGTCCCTCCATCTCTCTCAGTCTCTGCCTTTCTAATAAATGAACGGTATGTCTTATGGGAAACTGACACCTTCATTGTATAACTCCCTCTTCATCCCTGATAAATTTCTTCCAGTTGAGCCTCTTCTGTCTGCACTTGCTATGGCTACTCCTGCTTTTTACAAGTGTTAAATCTTTCCACCTGTTTACTTTTACTGTGTCTTTCTAGTTAAAGTGGATTTCTTATAGAGAGCATATAATTAGGTCTTGTTTCTTTTTTTTAAGATTTATTTATTTATTTGAAAGAATTATAGAGACTAAGGCAAAGCAGAGAGAGAGCGCACTTCCATTCACTGGTTCACTCCTCAAATGGCCTCAACAGCTGTAGCTGGGCTTCTTCCGGGTCTCCCATGCGGGTGCAGGGGTCCAAGGACTTGGGCCAACCTCTGTTGCTTTCCAAGGCCACAGCAGGGAGCTGGATCAGAAGTGGAGCAGCCGGGAGTGGAACTGATGCCCACATGGGATCCCGGTGCCACAGGTGGTGGCGTTACCTGCCGTGCCGCGATGCTGGCCCCCAGTCTTCCCTCTTGCCGTAGGTGTCCGTGGCTGTCAGTTTCTCTGCCTCCTGTAAGTTGGGCGCGCTGTATTTTGGTTTTATCTTCTGGTTTGCCTGGTGAGCTCTCTTTTGACCTGATTGAGATTTCTGCAGGCTCGTGAGTGAGTCTCGCGAGCGTCTTTCTTTACTGATTGGAAATGCCATCCCAATGCGGCTTTGTGTGGCTTCAGGCCCCAGGAGAGACCTGCTGAGTATCCCGGGTGTTCCCGAGAGGACGGAGACTTGGCTGGCCCTGTGCTGAGTGTTCCAAGGGGTGGGTGTGTCATCGGATCGATGGGGCCTGAATTCATGTTCTCTTTCTCCTGGGCTGTCTGCTGCCACTGTGGGTGCTCCCTGGGAGTGACGTGCACTCCGCCTGTGTCCTGGGGTCGGGGCGCGAGGTGGTGCTGCCTCTCACATATCTGCGGAGAGGAAGTGCCCGCACATTGCTCCGTGTGGGCCCCTGGGGAGGTTCCTGGTCACGGAGCCCTGTTCTCTGCTCCCGTTTCAGCTGCAAGCCCTGAGCCAGCCTCAGCCCCGGCCACAGGAAGCTGGCCCGCCGGCGGCAGAGGTGCAGCGGGGGAAAGGAGCGGCACCCCAGCCCTCGGCCCCCAGCCTGCAGGGGGCTTCAGACTTGAAGAGCCCAGGCGGGAAAGGTGAGTGGGGCTGTGTTCTGAGACCTCTGCCCACACCCCACCCCCCAACCCATAGCCCCACCTGCTGCAGGCTGTGCCGATGCCAGTGGGGACTTGAAACAGTTCCGGCCCGGGCCAGCACTGTGGCACAGGTTGATCTGCCACCCGCAACGCCTGCGTCCCATGAGTGCCTCTTGAGTCCTTGCTGCTCCACTTCTGATCCGGCTCTCTGCTGTGGCCTGGGAAAGCAGTGGAGGATGGCCCAATCCTTGGGCGCCTGCACCCACGTGGGAGACCCGATGGAGTTCCCAGCTTTTGGCCTGGCCTAGCCCCGACCATTGTGGCCATCTAGGGAGAAAAAAATTCTTGAAAAAATGGAATTAAAAGTGTCAGTTTATTATGGTACATTTTTTGTAAAAAAAAAGTTGTGCAGAGCCTCTTTCAAAATACGTGTTTTTCATGTGAATGATTTTCTTGCTCCAAAGTAAACTCAATGGTTCACTCCCCTGATGACCGTGACAGACAGGGCTGGGCCAGGAGCCAGGAGCCCGCATCCCGGTCTCCCGCGTGGGCGGCACAGACCCCACGCACTTGGGCCAGGCGCGTTAGCAGGAAGCTGAGGAGCTGGGACTGAAAGCAGAGCACCCCTTGTCCACACAGCCTGCTCCCTGGTGGCTGTGGCGAGGTCCAGGCTGTCCCCGAGGTCAGGACTTCGGTGGGGGCAGCACGGGGTCCAGTGGGCACCAGTGACGGCCCCGCGTGACCGAGACCACAGACGGCGGCGCGTGCGTCCCCCGGCCCCGCCCGGGGATCTGCGTGGCCTGTGACAGCGGCGTGTGTCCTGTGCGCAGAGGACAGCAATGCCGCCCAGGCGGCCAGCAAGGAGGAGCCACCGAGGGGCAGCCGGGGGCGGCGGCCGGAGCCGGGCCCGACCCCGCGGGCGCCCGAGGACCCTGTGGAGCGGGACCAGCTCGTCGTCGTCGACGGCGGGCAGGACGAGGGGCAGGACAAGGAGCCGGACGCCGCCGACGCAGGTGTGCCAGGGCCCCGGGACGGCTCTGCCTTGCTTGCGTGCTCGTTGTTTGTTGTCGGGAGGCAGGCAGGCCGAGGCCGGGCAGGGGGCTTGGCAGGTGTTAATGGAGGAAAAATGGCGGGAAGTCGGGGCAGGCCCGGCTGAGTGAAGGCACTCGGGAGTCGCACCTTTCCGGCTTGGTTGGGGTGTTGGGAGAAAGCATAGTGTGGGAATGTGAGAGCACCAGTGTGTTAAAGGGTTGTGGGAAGCCAGCCAGGGCCCGAGCGGGGCGAGGACGGACGTCGGGGGAGCTGCGCATGGGCAGACACGGCCCGGTTCCCTCGCGGCCTGTTGCCGCCGAGGTGACAGCTGCGCATGGGCAGACACGCCCGGTTCCCACGCGTCCAGCTCTAGCTGTGCACGCATGTGACCGATTCGCATTTTGGTAGTGCCCCCTTCCCCACCAGAGAGAGCATCGCTGCTAGGGGCCTGGGGGAGATGCACCTGCTGCCCGGTACAGCCGTGATGACCTCATTTGAAGAAGCGAGCTGCGGGCCCAGGAGCCTGTGTAAAAGGGGCACGCGACCCCTCGGCGCGGGCCTGCAGACACATGCTCTTGTGGTCGGGGAGGGTGGAGTGGAGGTTCACGGAAGCCAACAGAGCAGTGAGCTGCCCGCAGCCCCGGTGGCGGGCTCCTTGCAGAGCTGGGGTCTCAGCTCTTGTCTTGGGGCGGATGGCGCGCAGATCTGGGGTCTGGGCACCCCTGCTGCTCGCCCTGCTGTTCCCGAGGCCCGGGGAAGCGGTGACGCACCTGCTGCCTTCTGCGTCCCTCCCTGCAGGGCGAGGCCAGCCAAAGGCGGGAGGGGACGACTACGGTGCGGAGGAGAATGAAGCGGAGTCGGAGACGGACAAGCAGGCAGCCCTGGCTGGTGGCGACCAGGGCCCGGGCGGCGGTAAGAGCGGTCCCCGGGGAAGCCTTGGGAGAGGGGTGGCGTGGAGCCGATTCCCGGTCCTCGGGGGCGCCGGGAGGGCAGCACCTGCTCCCTCCGCCTCGCCGTGGACCCTGCACCGGGCACTATGGTGCTTTGGGTTTTGGATTGTATTTTTAAAAGTTGTGTTTATTTCAAGGGGAAGAACGTTAGGGCGAGCTGCCATCCGCTGGTTCACTCCCCAAATGTGTGCGACAGCCAGAGCTGGCCAGGGCCGGAGCCAGGAGCTTCTTCCAGGCCTCCCACGCGGGTGCAGGAAGCTGAACGTCAGCGGAGACTCGGATGTGGAGGCGGGGCCGGCCCTGCTGCCCTTGCTCTCGGTCTGGAAGGGGCCGTGGCGTCTCTCTCTCCCGGCTGTGGCTCGGTGTGCTCTTGAGCCCTTGTTTTGCGCACGCTGGTGGCCGCCTCGAGATCCCGGGGTCAGATGGGGGGTGGTGGTCCCCGTCGGGAGCCACATGATGTCTGCTCCTTTGTGTGCTGTCCCCAGCAGGTGAGGCGCAGCACCTGCACCCGATCATTTGTTTGCTGTGCTAACTGGAGTATTTTCATAACTAGGCCTGCAGTGCCTGCTGTTCCTGTCAGGGGGCAGGAGCTCAGTTCTCTGTCCTCTAACCAGGCCCCGTGGCACTGGGTGATTTCCCCGTTGGCCTCTGAAGGCGCCCACCTTGGAACTGGGCGTGCAGACATAGGGATTTAGACGTATCCGCGGGGCTGCAGGGAGCCGCGTTTATTACCCTTTTTGAAGTCTGACTGTCCATCGTCTGGCTGGGGGCACTTCACTTCTGTCCGAACCTCTGGTTTGGCTTTTCTGGCACCTCTCCTGTGGTTGCCACCACCCCTTCTGCAGTTTTCCTCTATGGGGTGGGGCCCGGGAAGCCCCTGCAGATCTGTGTCTGGGGCCTTGGCCCCATGGGAGCTGGGGGTCGGTGTCCCCCGCATCCTCTGGTGGTGGTCTCCAGATGCTTCTAACAGCTGTGGCCCGAGGTCTGCCTTTTACTGCTTTACATGTGGGGGTCCTGTAGGGGTTTTGAGATTCAGGAACTACGCCACTGCTGGTCTCTTCCCAGAATCATCCTGCACACAGGATCACACGCTGCTGTGGTGTCTGGCTCTGTCTGCCTTGACCTTTCTTGGAGTGCAGCGGCCCAGCTGCTCGGGACAAAGTCCTTTGTGTGGATCTGTCGGGTTCAGCACCTCTGCTCCTACTCCAGCTTCCCACGGATGCACACGCTGGCCGTCTGACACCAGTGCTGGGCCCCTGCCACCCACCAGGGAGACCAGGATGGAGGTCTTAGCTCCTGGCTTTTACTTGGCCCAGCCCTGGCTGTTGTAGGCATTTGGATGCAAGATCTCTCCCTCTCAAAACCAAAACCAGAAAGTAACCTTCTGTGTTTATCCAGGATATCAGTAGTTTCAACTGGCAGAATTGCATGGAGTTTCTAGAAGTCCAACCTTTTAAAATTATTTTTCATGGATGAATCAGGTAATTAAAGGAATCATCACCTGCTGCCTCATTCCTCAAATGGCTGAGCTGGGCCAGGCCAAAGCCAGATGCCCCAACCTTGTCTGCCACGTGGGTGCAGGGGCCCATGCACCACAGCCATCTTCCGCTAACTTCCCAGGCGCATTAACAGGGAGCTGCACTGGAAGTGGAGCAGCCGGCTCAAACTGGTGCTCCCGTGTGGGATGGCGGTGTCTCATGGGCTGCATTCACCTGTTGCACCCTAGCACCGGTCCCTTCCTGAACAGTCGCCGTCCTGTCGTACTAAGTGCTGGGCTTGCAGTGCAGCCTGTGGCCTTGCACCTGGCTCTGCCTCCTCGTCCTAAGGATTTGATCTCAGGAAGCGTTTTACGCCAAGTGAGGGGCTCTGCCAGCTCCTTTAGAAAACAGTTGTCAGTGGGAGCAGTGCCACCAGCATCCGCTTGGAATTACGGCAACGCACAGATGGCCCCGCCTGCTGCCCAGATGCTGCAAGAGGCGGTCCTCCATAGAGCACTTTAAAAAGATGCCGCTCATCTGATGAGTGGATAACACTTACTGAACCTCCGTGTAAGTCCTGCCTGGCACTGGTGTGAGGTTTACTTGTGTTCTCTTTGCGTCCCCCGGGTGTCAAGGCAGCGTGCAGCCGCATGCTGGAAGCCAGCACTGTTAGGGGCGCTCACGCGGCCACAGACATGTGAGTGCTTTTCACAGGTCGTGGAGCAGCCTCAGATTTAGCTTTGTTTCTCTGCGCACCGTGGGCCATGCATATGATTAGCAGTTCCATGTTAGTGGTGCCATGGAAGATATGGTCCTCCTCCTGACACGGTATCTAGAAACGTATACAAGGGACCCACCTGGGCTGTCCTCAGAATACTTAACAGTAGAATATTACTACGGGTTTGTTTTCTTTTTAGTTCACGCTGAAGATCAGAAAAGAGACGGCATGAACTCACGGGAGCAGCAGGAAAAGCAGAACCGTACTCTCTGAGTGGAGCTGGAACGGGACCCCGCAGAGCTCGCTCCAGAACTGTGCTAAGTACAGTGTGCACGAAGGCTGACCCCTGTGTGCGTCACAGGAAGCAGCCACTGCCTTCTAGACAGTTTTGTGGGGGTACTTGGGAAGTGTCCATAATAGGAGGTAGAAGTCTGTGAAAACTTTTTGCTAGTAGGCTTTTTGTAAGAAGAGCAACACCAAAAGTAGAACACGAGTTCTCCGCAGTGTGTTCTGGGACATAACTGTGTGTACAAGCGGCAGCCCAGCCGACGCCCGTGTGCACTCACTCCCAGAGCACCGACTGGAAGCACAAGCAGCCTTGGCCATGGGTTCCAACAAGGCCCCCACAAAGCTGATCTGGGCCAGGGTCCTCAGACTACTTTTGCAGTAGCCCTTGTCATTCTTAATGAACATAATGCTAGTGCCTGGTAATCTGAACACTTGTGGATGCTAGTTTGACCTGTGTGGGCAAAGCCAGCCTCATCTAGTAAGTCCGGTTACCAAGAATGGGCAAAACGGGCCACGGCCCAGCTGCCGCCTGCCGCACCTCCTTTATACTGGAGTTAAAGGGAGCATCACTGATGTCACAGCATATATACGGTGTCACAAACTGGAAATGTTTAGAAAGGCAGGATTAATGAATAGCTTGTGACAGTTTATGCTCACAAAACATTTAAAAGTAAATCACAGTAGTTATGGCATTAGGTTTGGCTATGGAGGGCCACTAGGCTGTCACCACTGTGCGACGGCAGAGCCGCAGGACGGGTTTGCACTCACGTTCCATCTCCAGCTCGGCTGTTCTCTGTGGTGTCCCTTCCTCGAGTCAGGATTCTGCAGCAGGGAGGAGCTGGCCTCGCAGCATCTTCTCCAGGGCCTTCCCAGCCTCCCCTAGTGTCCCTGTGAATTCTCGGTTCAATCAGTGCACATCCAGTGTCTAGCTTTTAAACCAGCTTTCACTCCTTCCAGCTGTGTCCTTCATCCTCGGGTTAAGGGTGAGGTCTCGTGGAAGGAGGTGGGGTGCCAGGAATCACATCGTCGTCTACAGCCCCAAAGGCCTGCGCTGCTGCTGGTTTCCTCTGACCACGCAGAGGGGCTGGGGAACAGTGGAGAGGACTCATGGCCCTTCTCTGCCAGTCTGGGTCTTTGGGGTCATTCAAAATGAAATCAACAGCTATTCCTTATTAACTAATCGGTACTAAACTATTTTACTTTTCTGTACCATCTGAAAATTGTGTGTGGACATGAGTAATGGGTTTATTGATTTTATATTTTTCCCTGCACATAGGACCATGGAGCTTCCTCCAGCAGCCATGGATTTGATTCCATGAGTAATCTAATCATTGCAATACTTAAGACTTGTGTGATGGAATTTGGGAAATAAACCATTATTGGTAATTAAGTCAATATGCTGTCATTACATACCTAAACTAGCCTGGTTGTTTTGTTGTAATTTCTGATAACTGGTTATGTACAACCCGAAATGGCAGGAGAGAATTACAAACCCAGTGTCATTGAAGGTCCAGGGATTGGTCTACTCCCACTGTGTGTTTGGCTTAAAGAATTATTACAAATGATGGTTGGGGGGACACTGTTAGCTTAGTATTCAGTCTTAAGAAGTAGGAGAAATGTGTATTTAAGTATTTTGTGTGCTATTTCACAGTTCAGAGAGCAGTAATTTTAAAGTGTAAAATGACTGTCCTTTAAAATTCATTGATAAATTCTGCTCAAGTATGCACTGAATGATCACTCAGCAAATATTTTCCCATGTACTTCAGAAAAAATCCCACCACCACACACACCTCTGCCGAAGTTAAATAACTTGAAACAGTCTCATCTTTAAAACTATACACTATCTCAGATAATCAGTGTTTCCTGTGAACAATCGCACTAACCCTCTGGGGACAAATAAACTTGTTTAATGCTGAGTGGAGGAGACCTTACCCTGCTCACGCTCCTGGACAGCGCCACAATGGGTGCTTGGTAAGTCCTTGGCGGAGTCCGCTAGTTTCTGTGAGTCTCAGAGCAGTGCTTAAGTGACAGGGTGACAGAGGATGTCTTATCCCAATGAGATAATTCAGAAAGACCGCTACCTCATCCACACTCACAGCCGAGGGGCATTTAAGAGAGACCACAGCTGCCTGCTTTTCCTTTAAGCCCAATCTGGCTGTAACGCTCCTTGCGCTGGATTTTTGAGAAGGGCTCACTCAAAAGCCATTCTAGAGGCCAGCAGGTGACACATCTGATCAAAACAAAGCACTGTACTTTCCTAGGGGTGGCTCATGCTTGAATCCCAAGGAGAAGCTGGGATTCAGAGAGCAGCTGCCCATGAACTTCACAGGATCCTCGAGTGCATTCTTGGTTTCAGGGGGAGGCACTGTGGAAGATGGCAGTAAAAACCTTTTAGTGCAAACATAGCTTGTTATACTTTCATCTCTTCAAAAGCAAAATTGGCCAATGTCTCTGGCAGGTGTGAGGCACCAAAAATGTTGAGTCACCCTAAATTTTACAGTCCCTAATAACCAAAGCAACAAGTGCTGTGCCCCCACCTCCGCATTTTGAGGCAGGTGAACCACTCACTTGTGTTTAGGTTGGTAACTGCAGATCCCAGACCAACTGATTCCCACTACCTCCACGTTCCTGTCCATTCCCAGCATTGCCTTCTCATCAAGTGTTTCCTTTTGTAGGTCTCAAGATGCTAAGGGTCTTGTTCTGTTTCTCTTTGGTCTTCCCTTGGCACAACTCACTGCTTTTAGGATTTCTTACCCCTTAGAGGATCCATGTGCCCTGAAGTGAGTGGACAGCAGTTACTGATTCCACTCCACCCAGTATCAAGTCCTAGCAAGATGAAGCCTCTTTGCTCAGGTTTGTTCTAGAGTTGAAGATAAAAGCAATTAACCATTTCAATTCTAAGTGTAAATACAGAAGTGGAAGGTACTGCAACATACTTCACCTCCATGCATGTTCCTGGGATTGGGCTGAGAGCTGCAGTTCCCCGTTGCTGCCCAGCAGTGCAAGGGAAGTCACTTGGCTTTGACGCAGATCTACAACTTGACACATGGATGCACGTGGCTTTCGAAACATATGAGGCTGAAAACCAAGCTGAGCCACTGTGAGGTGGTGGGTGGGGGCCTTATGACCTTATGTACTTCTACCAGCAGAGGGAGGGGCCTCCCTGGAGACGAGACATTGCAGCTGACGTGGCAAGATTGAGGGCAAACTAGCTTGAAGAAAGAACAGCAGCAGGTGTGGCAGGCAGTGCTGCTGCAGAGGTGGGAGAGGCAGAAGGGAACAACAGGGTGTTCTGGGGGAGGGGAGGTCGTGACCCAGAGCACAGTGCCGGTTCCTGAGGGCACCATGTCAGCAGGCTCACATCTGACAGCCCTCAGATCCTGCCAGCTCCTCCCAGATCACAGCGGGTCGGTCCCCAGGGCTGCACTGCACTCTGCTCCACAGCCGACTCCAGCTCCTGCCCGCTCCTGAAGAGCTGCCTGTTGTTGCCAGCGACCTTTACCCAGCAAATCCAAGGGCAGAGGTCCTTCCTGACCGCCCGTAGGACAGGGCCCCCACACTGTTGTAATAGAGCCTGCAGGGAGGCCTCCCCCAGCACGCAGAGGGACGGGGAAGCAGCTGTCTCCCAGCTCGCTGACCAACATCTAGGGAACTCCTCGTCCTGGCCAGGAGTCTTCCAGCATGACCTGCTTGAGGACTGGCTTTCTGCAGGCTGTCCCGTCTTCTCCGGGCAGCCTCCTCACTGCCAGTTCGCTTCTGCAACGTGGCCATCCCACATCTGCCCAAGCTACCTGTACTTCCTGATCAACTGCAAGGCCAATGTTCTGACATCTCTCCACCCAGACAGCACCTTGCAACTCCCTCAGATCAGACTGCTGCCGTCTTCACCAGGACATCCCACAGATGCCTCAGAGATCGGCTGAAAATTCTCACATCCAAACCTGGATTCACTTACTGTTCAAATAAGCAAGCAGCACCACATTCATCTAACATTACAGCACTAACGTGAGTCCCGGTACAGCTTACTCTGCTAACACTGTCACCCTGTACAGAAGACAGGTCTCGCCCACCTGCCGAGGTTTCCCCACCACCACAGCAAACACCAACTCAGGGACAGGAGTAGGAATGGCTAGCAAAGGAAGGGCGGGCCCCAGCACTGGACACTGAAATGGACACAGGGACTGATGTCCACTTCTCAAAGCCAGAGGATGGCGAACAGACCTTCATTTTCAGGTGGTAGAGACTCGATTTTAGAGTTTCCTAGTTCTCAGAAACATGGCAGCACAAAATGGATAAAAATAGGCTTAATGACCAAACTAAGCGAGGGATAAAGGTAGAGGGGAAAATGAGTAAATTACAAGAAGGAGTATGACACATTTAGCCCTAGATCTAATTCTCTTCCTTGTGTTGGAATAACGTCACCAGCAATGTGCCAGAAGTGCCGGTTGCAGATGTTTCACACAGCTGTATTCCCATAGTTTATGGTGTTGGGACACAAAGTCACAATGTATTCTCCCTCCTGCATTTCTAGGTCTCCCCAAAACCCCTGTATTCTGCCACAATCTCACACAAGTGTCTCATAAACCCCCTCACGGGAAACTTGGTTTTTGAAGTGTTCTAGTATTGAACAATAAAGTCCTTACTATGTGTCTCAACAAAGTGCTACTGTTTTTCATCTCTAGTAGTGCATTTTTTGTCAAATTTATTAACCTTTACAAACACTATTTTCACTCATTCATTCATAAAAAATGATTTATGGTTAAATCTGTAATAAAACCATATAACGTTCATCAATGCATTAAGACCAGTTTCATCCATGGAACATAATAAACCACTTTAAAGCAGCAGTTTTCATTCACGTCATATAAGGCTGTCCAACTGAAAGTATTCCTTAAGGTGGGCAGTTAGCCAAGAAACCCATTTCACGTCACATTACGTGGTAAGACACACGGACAGATGCTCTCAGAGTGGAATCTGAAAGTAGACCCTACGCCTCCACGGGTACCTCTTCAGTATCTCAGACAAGTTTCACAACAGGAAAGTATTTGTGAGCCGAGAAATCAAATTCAGGAGGAATCTGTAAAGAAACCCAGATACTAGTCATATGCCTACAGAAATTCAGATGGTAAAGACTCAATTTTAGAGTTTCCTAGTTCTCAGAAACATGGCAGCACAAAATGGATAAAAATAGGCTTAATGACCAAACTAAGCGAGGGATAAAGGCAGAGGGGAAATGAGTAACTTAGTTCTCAGTTATGGTGATAATGAGAAACCAGGCTGAGCAGCCATTTGCTAAGCAGAGTTAAGAAAGGGCAAATGGGCTTGAACTAGAGGACAGGACTCCGCTGAGGGCCAGCACACGCTCTCACTACAGGGTCACTAACAGCACTAGGCAGGAAGCAGGACAGGGACGGGAGACAAGACACCAGGGAAATAATGAGGGAGCCGAGTGCACGGAGTGGGCAAAGCTGCTAAGACGTCCTTGGTGGCTGGCCTGTGACATGAGCACGCTGACCCAGGAGCACTAGGGAGAGCGCACACACTCCCCTATCCTGTGAGCCATTAAAGAGAAGTCTTTAAGTCACTCACTTTCCCACAGGTAGGTGCCTTTTAAATATTCCATACCTCTCCCATACATTTGCCTCACATTGGTTTCATCCCAGTTTATGCACTAATTTACACAGCAGGGGGAGGGTGGCACGGAGGAGATTTACTGAACGTTTTAGATGATTTTTATGCAGTGGGTTAACTTCTGTAATATTTATGTATCTTACTGAAAAAAATGGTCTAATAATTTACGACCACTTGTTTTTCCAACAGCATTCTTACCTTAGATTCTTTCTTGTGTCCTCCTGCCAATAACTTCATAACCACAAAGTTGGGTTTGGCAACCTTTAAAATTCTGTTGACCTAAAACAACATTATTAAGTTATCAAAACATAAGATTTATAATTGAGGGGCCAGTGTTGTGGTGTAGCAAGTTAAGCTGCAACCTGCAATGTCAGCATCCCATATGGGCAGCTGTTAAAAGTCTCAACTTCAAAGCCAGCTAACTGCTATGGCCTGGCAAATCAGAGGATGGCCCAAGGACTTCGGCCCCTGCCATCACGTGGGAGACCTGGAAGAAGCTCTTGGCTCCTGGCTTCGGATAGGCTCAGCCATTTGGAGAGTGAACCAGCAGATGGAAGCTCTTCCTAACTCTGCCTTTCAAGTAAGTAAATAAACCATTTTTAAAAAGTTCATAATTGGAGCCAGTGCTTTGGTACAGCGGGTTAAAGCCCCGGCCTGCAGCACCGGCATCCCACAGGGGCTCCAATTCAAGTCCTGGCTGCTCCACTTCCAATCCAGCTCTCTGCTGATGGCTGAGAGAGCAGTGGAAGATGGCCCAAGTACTT